CAGCTGTTGTAGGCTTATTCTTGATGTAAGATTAAATGTGGGTCTTCTTGTGCCAGTTCTTATTATCACTGTTTCATTTTATTGGCTCTCTTCTCTTCGAAATTTAAATTGTAAATGTTTAAATTAACCACTTTACATAAGGGAGATGTATATAAAGACAACAGTTCTACACTCTCCTCCCTCCAAAATACTGAATGCCACGATTGCACCATGTCAACAATGTCACGATGCGTAACAATTCAATAATAAATATAGGCTTTTATGCAGTCACACCCCGTTTTAAAATGCTGGAGAGGCAGGGTCTAATCATGTGGAGATAAAAAATAATAATAATAATAATTAGCCCTTTATAGTTTTGTTACATATAAATCACTGATATAATCTACCGGTGCCATGACAATGAGAACAGAATTGGAGCCATTTGTCGTTGTTATCACTGACTCTGGCAGCCATGGAAGTCTTCTTTGTTTTGGGTCCCTGTACCGTATCTTTCTGGGGCATTGCTGTAATGGCTTATTTTCATGCTAATCACAAGAGCCTTCTGTCTTCACTATTATAAGTATCTCAATTATCATTCATATTTCACCAGTTTCTATTCCATCACTGAGATCTTAGTGGTCTTCCATATGCCAAGCCAAACACTCTCAACGAAGAAATTCATTTTCCTCTTTTTTGTCATGCTTTTGTGGGCAAACAGTTTCATGGCTTGCTTTGCTACTGATCAACCCACTCTTCTTGCTTTCAAAGCTCAAATCAATTTTGGTCCTTCTACCATTTTGGTAAACAATTGGTACGCCACCACACCTGTTTGCACCTGGATTTGTGTCTCTTGTGGTGTTCGTCATGGAAGAGTCACAACCTTAAATCTTTCCAACATGGGTTTCAATGGCACCATTTCTCCACATCTAGGGACCTCTCATTCCTTGCTTCCCCCAACATCAGTAACAACAGTTTCCATGGCTATGTTCCTTAAGAGTTGGCTCGTTTGCATCGTTTGAAAGAAATTGATTTAGGAAACAACTTGTTAAGTGGGGTGCTTCCTTCATGGCTAGGTATCTTACCAAAACTTCAGTACTTGATTATAGATAATAATAGTTTCACAGGTGCTATCCCAGCTTCCACTGGCAACATCACTAGCTTAGTGGCTATGAGATTATTGGGCAATCATCTAGATGGACATATTCTAGAAGAGATTGGTAACCTTTCCGACCTGAAAATATTGAGGTTGAGAGATAACCAGCTCTTTGGTTACATACCCTTTATCTTCAACATGTCTTCATTGGAAGAGATTAGTGTTACATTTAATAACTTATCTGGTCCCATCCCAGGAGATATGTGCAATAATCTTCCTGAAATTTGGAGACTCTCTCTTTCTTCTAATCAGTTTCAGGGTCTTCTCCCAACCAGTTGGCACCAATATAGGAAACTTCAGCTTTTATCATTGTCCTACAACAAATTCATAGGCGGCATACCTCAAGGAATCGTCAACTTGACCATGCTTACGCATTTGTATCTTGGATACAACACATACAAGGCAAATCTCTTCACCCGTTGTCATGGTTATTGTAGCAAATTCATGTGAGCCTATAAGGAAGAATATCAGTGCTAGCTATGGCCAACAGGCTATTAACACAAACCAAATAGCGGGTGATTTGAGACGAAGAGTCTTGCATCAAGGAAGTTAGTGCATCGATTATGGGTTATATTAGTTCTCCATAATAATGGAAATTAGGACACAACCCAGAAAAGTTGAACCCTGAAAGAGCTTTAGATAACCAGAGGATTTGTATAAAACATAAATTCATCAATTTTGTTGGAAGCAAGTACTACTCGATGTTAATGGATACAACATATTGCAGGTGAAATCCCACATGAGATAGGCAATCTGGATTTGGAGCTATTATCCGCACCGAATGCTGGGCTCACCGGTCATGGTTCAAAGTCGAGGTATCGGTCATCAACTCGGAAGACACTGATACACATTGGTCGCAGCGTCATGGTACAGTATCGGCCGATACGCTCAAAACGCTAGATAAAAACTCTAAAAAAATTTGAAAAAATCGTAAAAAATTTTGAAAAATATAAACATCATCATCCATGCATCATATGCCCACAATAAATCAAAAAACACATTAAACATAATTAAAATGAAACATAAGGGCGTTACCGAAAATATTGATCATTATCAATATTCAACTAATTGAAATTGAAATATTAATATTGATATGTCTAATTATTATATTAGATTTAAAAAGTACCGATGTTTTTTAGGATTAAAAAATATTGATATTTTTTTTTTTTAAAAAATATTGATGTATCTAATCATTATATTAAAAAATATTTGATATTCTATCTTTGATTGAAGTATTTTTTGTCTAAGTATAATATTTTAAACTTAAAGGCATGGTTCAAAGTCGCGGTATCGGTCCTTGACTTGGGGGGGGCACTAAGACATATCAGCTGCGGCGTCGTGACGCTGTATCAGCCAATACGCCCAAAACACTATATAGAAGGCTCAAAAAAATTAGAAAAAAATTATAATAAATATAAACATCATCATCAATGCATCATATCCGTAAAAGATATTATTTAACACATTAATCATTGCAAAAAAGAATAATAAGGATGCTACCGGAAAATATTTATAATCATCTATATTCAAGGTTAATATAATTTAATTTGTAATTTTTAAAAATTATAAAAAAATTTAAGTGTATATATATGGTGAACTTAATAGTTTTAAAAATGAAAATCTATTTATAAAGAAATTCTATATTTAATTATTTATTATGTATCTAATTAAAAATTATATGTATTTTCTCCATTATATATATTTAATTATTAAATCTTCAATGCATATACATAAACAAACTTAAGAAGTTAAGTTCTAATTAGATTATATGATAAATACTAAAAATTATATAATTAAAAAAATTAGACTCAAACTGAAAAAACAAAGAGAAAAGGGGGGGAAATAAATTTTAGGATCTCATTCTTAAAAAAGTCATAAGCCCCAAATGCTCTCTCTTCAACTCTCAGACATTGTCGATTGCGAGAGAGAGAGAACAAAGACGATGGGGGACGACGAGCAACACCAGCGACCGCGAGAGAGAGAGGGGAAAGTGTCTGGTTTCTTGAGGGTTGCTACATCGTTCGGTAGTAGCGCTTGCCGCTACTACTACTCCTACTCCGTCTCCTAGGACTTTTGCATCTGCGATGAAGATGAAGAGGAAAAGAAAAAGGAAGTGAAAGAACAACAACTACACAGGCTTTTGGTTTGAATGTTGTATAGGCGTGTAATTTCTAATTTTTCATCTTTTTATTTCATGGAGAAAAAGGGAAAAGGGGCTGATTTAGGGTTAATCTTCTATCACATCTCTCGTTCCTTTTTTTGGCATTTTTTCTCCGTTGGTCTGTGTTTTGAAAGCTTGTTTGCTCATAATTGATTTTGTTGGAATGAATTATTTCGAATCGTTGACGAATCGGTTCAAATAGGTGACAAATCGTTGTCTCACCCGAGTTGTACCGATTTAGGTTCGATTCGGGATTTTTTCGTTGCGGGTATCGTTGTCGTATCGGTCATGGCCAAAACGGATACGGCTCGGCCGAGGCCGATACCTTGAACCACGTTACTGGTCTCATACCATCTTCTATTTTCAACATCACGTCTTTAAAAACGCTACATCTCGGTTACAATAACTTGTCTGGTAGTTTGCCAAGGGAAATGTGCTCGCATCCTCAAAAGCTCGAGAGTTTTGATCTTTCAAGTAGCAAGGCCTTTTCGGGAGGCATTCCGAAAAGTATTGGGAACTGTACTTCGCTCCGCTTCTTAGGACTTAATGATCTCAATTTGACAGGTATGGAATTCTATTATCATTTTCTTCTGCGGATGTCACAAGGGATGGTAGTTTGTTGCAATAAATATTTTCCTTTCTGCATATAATTATTTTCCAGGCCTCTATTTCAGTACTAGTTGAATATCTTGTTCTCACAATAGATCTAGTGCTTACCTTGAAAACAAGCACCTACAGATTCCTGTACTTGGTGTAATTTCAGCATCTCATTGGTAAACGTGAGGGTGCATATTGTGGGAATTTACATTGTTTTATGCAAAATTGTACATTTACCATTAATATATAAACTAGCTAATACTATAGCATGCCCTGTAATTTTACAGAATAAGAGAGAGAGAGAGAGAGAGAGAGAGAGAGAGAGAGAAAATCGGATAGAGTCGGCAAGTGAGTCTATGCGGTGCCTAATAGCTGTCCAAAATCAGCTATGCCAACTCATGTGGAGGTAAAATTGGACAGTAGTGGCTCTATAATTCAACTTAGATACCCCCAGCAACACATCCTCAAGGTTCACGTACACTAAGGGTAGGGTGAACCCGTCTATTGTCCAGGTTGGAAAAATATGGAATATAGTGCTAAAAAGAAGTATGGACAGACTAAAACATGTAAGGATGGTATATATAGTTGGCTAAAGATTGCTTAAGGACAATGTTAAAATCTGAAATTAAACAATGAACCTTGAAAACATTTGAGAATTTGGAATATAAAGTATACTTAGATTCTAACATATTAAGCAAAGGTAAAATGTTATGTGAGCTTAAAAATATCAAATTTTCTATTTTTGAATGTTTTAATTTAATGATTTTACGATGGTCTTCATTGACAATAAATTCCCTATCAATTGAAATGATTGAGTTATTGAAAAGTAATAAATGATCCAAAAGATATTACCAAGAAAGAATGAGAGGAGTTCGACATAGACCTCTCAAGTTGTGAAACTACAAGCTTTAGCTACAAAGCTTCACAGGGTGAACAAGAATGTTTACAAAGTAATCAAAAGAAAAAAATGCCACATTGACCATGGATTTTTTTAAAGAAAACAACAGTCCTTTTTTGTTTTCATTTGAATTTTTCTTTTTTTTTCACTAATCTGTCTGTCGCTTTCTACTCTTCTTAGCTTCGCTAGTTTTGGGTAGATCCTTTTTTTGAATGAGTTGTGTGATTTAATAGACTTGAGCCATTCTGGTAGTAATTTCCATTAGATTGTGCGCTATTGTAAATGTATTCTCTTAAACTATTGCACTAGTTTCACTTTACTCTATTTACTATCAATTTTCTCACATTGTCTCTTTAACTGTGTTCATTGGTTTCACATTACCCAAATCCAAATGACTGCTGAATTTTCAGACGAAAATAATCACTTGTTGGGGCCATATGAAATCAAATAATATAATTGAATGGGAAAGACGAGATTAATGAGCATAGTTGAGGGGACAATGTGTTTGGTGTATAACCACCTTGCGCCAAAAATTAAATGGTTGTTTAGATTTGGTGCCAGGGGGGATAAAGTAAAATAAGTGCAATGGAACAAATGATAATTACCCATCTATTAAACATTCTTTTTATTTTACGTTTTGCAGGTGCTATACCACCAGATATCGGAAATCTTTACAATTTGAAGCAATTAGGATTGGGTTTCAACAGCCTTAGGGGTGTTACTCCAGAAACGATTTTCAACATCACGACAATACGGGACATTTATCTTCAGGACAATCATCTTTTAGGCACTCTTCCATCAAGAATTGGCCTTTGGCTACCCAATCTTGAAACAATTTCACTAGGACATAATTACTTCAATGGAATTCTTCCCGACTCTATCTCAAATGCTTCTAGAATTTCTAAAATACAGCTTCAGTTCAACCATTTCTCTGGTACAATACCCAAATCACTTGGTAACCTAGAACTCCTTGACCGTCTTAGCTTGGCATCAAACAACTTTACTAAAGAATCTTCATCAATGGAGTTAAGCTTCTTCACTACATTGACAAATTGTCGACGTCTAAGAATATTGTGGATATCCTATAATCCTTTCAATGGCTTTCTTCCAGCTTCCATTGGAAATCTCTCAAATTCTATTGAATCTTTTGATTTAGGTTATTGTGAAATTAAGGGCAGCATCCCTAACGAGATCGGCAGTTTAAGCAGTTTGGCACACTTAAATCTACAAGGCAATGACTTGAATGGATTCATTCCGCCGACGATCAAAGAGTTGTGGAAGCTTCAAGTTTTGCAACTAGATTATAACAGAATACCAGGATCTATTCCAAGGGATCTGTGCTATTTAAGGAATATGGGCCGTCTAGATTTGAGCAACAATGGGTTTTCTAACACTGTGCCGGTGTGCTTGGGGAATATTACTCTTCTAAGATATCTCTATCTAGATTCCAACAAATTAACTTCTAGTATACCCATGGACTTCTGGAGACTCAGAGATCTTTTGGAGTTCAACTTTTCCTCAAATTCCTTATCTGGCTACTTACCCTCAGAAATTGGAAGTCTAAAGGTTGTGGGATAAATAGCTCTATCGAGAAATCAATATCATGTGTTGTCCCTAGCACAATTGGGGCCCTACAATATCTTTCGACTCTGTTATTAGCAGATAACAAATTGCAAGGACCTCTTCTTGAGTCAGTTGGCAATTTGATAAGCCTAGAGTTCTTGGATTTGTCTCATAACTGTATCTCTGGAACGACTCCAAAGTCCTTAGAGGTGCTTTTGCATCTTAAATACCTTAATGTATCTTTCAATAAATTAAGAGGAGAAATTCCAAATGTTGGACCTTTTGCAAACTTCACTTATCTATCTTTTATGTCAAATGAAGATTTGTGTGGTGCTCCTAGATTGCATGTGCCTCTATGCAAACCTAGTGCTCTTCAAAGATCAAGGAAGAAAAGAGTGCTTCTAGTTGTATATGTCTTGCTAGCGTTTGTGACAACAATTCTTGCCTTGACTTTAATATTCGTTTTAATCAGACGACAAAGGAGAAATAACATCCTGATTGAAAACGATTATTCACCTGCAATAGCCCATGGAAGAATTACATACTATGAACTTCGACGAGCAACTCACGAGTTCAATGAAAACAACTTGCTTGGCAGGGGCAGCTTTGGTTCAGTTTACAAAGGGATCCTTACAGATGGGACACAACTAGCCATAAAAGTATTCAATTTGCAACTCGAAGGAGCATTCAGGAGTTTTGATACAGAATGTGAAGTATTGCGCAATCTTCAGCACCGAAATCTTACCAAAGTCATCAACAGTTGTTCTAATCTTGTCTTCAAAGCAATAGTGCTTGAGTATATGCCCAATGGAAGCCTAGAAAAGTGGTTGTATTCCCCCAACTATTTCTTAGACATAATGATAGATGTGGCACTTGCATTGGATTATCTCCACCATGGTTACTCAATTCCCGTGGTTCATTGTGACTTGAAGCCTAGCAATCTCTTGTTAGATGAACATATGGTTGCACATGTAAGTGATTTTGGCATTGCCAAATTACTGGGTGAGGAGAGTATTGCACTAACCAAGACTCTGGCTACATTGGGGTACATTGCACCAGGTGATGCTTTTAACTTTTTAATTTGTACTTATTTGCACTTGGATTCTCTTTTCCACTTTGATTTTTTTAGGGGGGGGGGGGCGCGAATAAATCTTACGAGTGTTATTATTTTTCAAATGAATCGTATGATGGATGCAGAGTACGGATTGGAAGGATTAGTCTCTACAATGTGTGATGTTTACAGCTATGGCATTTTGTTGATGGAGACTTTTACAAGGACAAAACCCTGTGATGAAAAGTTTGGTGGAGATTTGAGCCTCAAGCAGTGGGTGAATGATTTACTAGCAAATTCCATAATCCAAGTTATCGATGCCAATTTAGTAAGGTCAGAGGATGCAAACTTGAACGTGAAGGTGCAATGTGTGTCATCCATTATGGAATTGGCTTTGAAATGCTCTGCAGAGCCACCTAAAGAGAGGATTAGCACGAGGGATGTTGTAGCAGCTCTTCAAAAGATCAAACTTCAATTTCTTGCAAAGTGCAAAAGGCTTTGAAACATGAAAGTGTTGTTCGACATTATCGTATGCAAAGTAATATAACTCCTCATTAAAGTATGAGTCTAGACTGGTAGTCAAATTTTTATATGCTAACATCATGTTGTTGCCAAAGGTTGCAAGGTTTGACATGTGGAAGTGGCAGTAACCCTCCGCTCCAAATTATTCAGACTTGCTGCAAAAATATGCATTCTAAGACAGATATCCAAGGTTTTTTGCTTGTCAATTAGATATCGAGTGATTTGGCTATCAATGTTGCACTGAAATTGGTATTGTAGTTGTATATGTAGCATATGTTGCAATCACATCTCCATGCAATGTTATTTGGCATGAATTCATTAGCTTTCTGTTTAAAGTCTATCCTACTTGGTAAATCCAATCACTAGACCTGTTTCCATGACCAGAAGACTAGTTATTCTGGACAACTTCAGCTGAAGGATGCGTAAAAATTAATTGTGATGGGGCCTTTCCAGAGAACATTTCTAGTTTTTACTTTTTGTTGTGTTTTTGTTGGTACTAGATTCAAATTGAAATTGAGAATATTGTCGCACTTACCTCGATCATTGTTAAATTTAAAATTGAGAATATGCCAAGCGTAAGGATCTCTAATCACTTTAGCTGAAAAAAATAAAACCATTCCGTTTATGTAGTCAAACTATTGTGTAGAAGGAGCTAATCGAATCGAGCTTGTCGGGTTTGTCTGCTGCCATGTTCGAGCTCGAACGTAGCTCAATAATCGACATTAGAATCTTACTCAAGTTTAACTCAACCAAAATTTTGTGAACACTCAAACCAAACTTGAGCTTAATTTCTGGTCAAAATTTTCCTGAAAACTTACTAAAAAAAATTGTTTTAAATCTATAAAATTAATCATAACAAAAATTTGAAAGTTTAAATTTTTTCCATTGTATATCTGAGAATAGAAGAGAAAAGTGTATACGATCATGCATAGGCTTGAGGTTATTTATGTTTTGAATAGGAGTTTTTTAACAATACATCTAAATAAAAAGCTATTCCAGCTGAGGTGAGTTTATGTTGGTGAGTCAGACTTCGGTCAGAATCAACTTACTTATAACACGAGTTTTAAATCTAACTTATATTGATCATTTTTTAATTTGAATGAGCTAAAACTGAGTCGAGGCAGAGCCAAACTTAAGCAACTCGGATTGTTTAGCAATTGTAAAAAGTAGAGAGAATTACACTTAGACCTTTTGAAGTTTGTCACTTAATCATTCAAACCTCCTTATACTTGAAATATTACACATAGACCCTCTGAGATTTGTACACGTGTAACACTTAAACCCCTTACTATAAACTCTTATTGTAAATATATCCGTTAATAAATTACACTTAGAGCCCCTAAAGTTTGTAGGTATAGACCCCTTAAATTTAAAATATTATATTTTGACCAAAAATACTCCAATTAAAGATAGAATACCAAATATTTTAAATTTTACAACCAAAATTCATGTTATATTGTATTATTTATTAAAATAAAATTAAAATTAAAAATTTAATTTTTTTAAAAAACTCGTAATTAATATACAATAATATTATCTATTGGAATAAAACTAAAAAATTAACTAAGGGATCTAAGTCATTCATAATAGAATATCAATTTTACATTCAAAATTCATGTTCTATGATGTCATTTATTGAAATAGACAATCTAATTGTATACTAATTACAATTTTTTAAGAAAAAAATAATTTTTTATTTTTTATTTTATTTTAATAAATGATTCAATAGAACATTAATTTTAATTGTAAAATTTAAAATATTTGATATTTTATCTTTGATTGAATTATTGTTTGTCTAAATATAACATGTTAAATTTAATGGGTCTAAGTCATATATATTTTCAAATTTAATGGGTTTGGGTGTAGTTTATTAACTGATATATTTACAACAGAGATTTAAATGTTATGTGCATACAAATATTAAAGAATCTATGTATAATATTTCAAATATCAAGAGATCTGAGTGATTAAGCAACAAATTTCAGGACGTCTCGGTGTAATTCTTATCCATAAGTTTCCATTAAGTTCCTGTTTTGGTAAGAAGTTTGCACGGAGAGTTTTGATCAAAACATTTATTGAACATTAACAGAATCTCTCTCTCTCTCTCTCTTCGTGTTTTGCAATTCATCTTTGTCTTCCTTAATCTACAGTTAATTTATCGATTTACATGGTATCAGAGCTTCAAACAGAGACAAACGTTTCATCAATGGTCGATACAAACTTCTGCTTCATCCTCCTCTTCTACTTCTTCGTCTTCTACTAGTGTTACACCGCACACCTTTTATCTTCTCTCAATTTTTTGCAACCTAATCTCGCTGAAACTTCATTCAATGAACTGCATCCAGTGGAAATTTCAAGGCACTTCAGTATTTAGAGGACACTCTCTTCTAAGCTTTGTTGATGGCTCTTTGATGTGTCCGAAACAGTTTATTCGAAATGATCAAGGACTGGCATCAATTGAAATCAGTCCTTCATAGGATAGTTGGATAACACAGCGTTATCTTCCACAAAGTTGTCTCACATAATAGGCTACAACACTTCAAGAGAGCTCTGGTTAGCTTTGGAACGAAGGCATTCTTCAATCTCTCGATCTAACATACTACAGCTAAAATCAGAAACTTCAATCTATCAGCAAAGGCACCAGCATTGTTGATACCTACATTCAGAAAGTAAAGGAAATTTGAGATAATCTTGAAGCAGCATTCGTTTATATTGATGATGAGGATATTTTGGTCTATACTCTGAATGGATTATCTTGAGAGTTTAATCCTTTTAAATATGATTAGATCTGAGCCTGTCACATTAGAAGAACTATCACCTAGCTCCATAGCGGAGCTAGTCACTGGCTACAGGGCGACCGACCCACCGGACCGGAGGTATGTTCTTCTCAAAGGAGAAGACCACTCTTTAGCATCTGAAATAACTCACAACAAATATCCACACATTCCTACTGCAATGACTGCTGCATATCAAGCCATGACAACAAATTATGTGAATTCTGGTCAAAGAGGAAGAATATCTAATTAATTTGGCAGGAACAATGGAAACAGAGGAGGAAATCAAGGAGGAGGAGGCAGATTTCACTCAAATAAGAGATTTAATTCTCAGTAGAATTAAAATTTTCCTAACAACCAGTCCTCGTCCAATCACTCTGGACAACCACTGAATTCCTCTTATCAGAAACAACCTAACTCGCAAGGAATGATATATTGCCAGATTTGCTACAAACCAGACCATTCAGCCTTGGATTGTTACCATCGCTTGAACTATTCTTATCAAGGAAGACATCCTCAAGCTCAACTAGCTGCTATGGCAGCTTATGTCAACAATCAACAGCCAGGACTTCAATTCCAGCAGTCTGATTCTAATTTTTGGATTATAGATAATGGTGTTATATTGTATATCACCCCAGATCTGCATAATCTTACTCTCTCATCAGAGTACACTGGCTCTGACAAAATGGCAGTAGGTAATGGTATCAATCTCTCCATCTCCCACATAAGTCACTCAGATTTACAAACTACCTCACAAACCTTTCAGTTAAAGAATATCCTTTATGTTCCTACTATAGCTTGTCGGTCCACCAATTCTATCTTGACAACAACTGTCTTTTTATCTTTGATTATAATATGGTTTTTATTCAGGACAAGTCTACAAGGAAGACACTTTACCAAGGAACCTGTTGTGATCGTGCAGCAATTATGGTGAATAGTAAGGAATCAAACAATTAAGAAAGCAGGAGAAAATAACACACAGAGATTTACGTGGTTCGGCAATGTGCCTACATCCACGAGAGCGAGCGGCTGTTCTTTTCCTTATTGAAGTAGGGTTACATCTTAAGTATTTATATAACCCTAATATGGACGTATTTACAAAAATACCCCTGTACCATACCGCGGGGGCGTTGCCCCCGCACCCCCAACTTATTAGTGTCCCCTATATATAAATCCCGCAAGGCAGATGCCGTCGCGGGCTCCGCCCGCTCCGGCATCTGCCTCCTTGCCATTATGCACATAGCAAAATATGAGCCACACATACTCTAACAGAACCAATGAAAATGACCGTTATCCTATCAAAGCATTGCCGCAGTCATTCTCAGCAGTGGCTTACTTGGGACAAAGAGTCTTTCAAATCCTTTGGCATGATAGATTAGGCCATCCTTCCAATACTGTATTTTCTTGTGTTTGTACTCATTGTTTGCATGGAAAAATGTCACAATTGCCTTTGCCTGTTTCCACTTCTGTTACACAATGTCCTCTAGAACTAGTGCATACTGATGTATGATGACCTACCCCTGAAATTTCTCTTCATGGTTTTCAATATTACATTTCTTTTGTTAATAGTTTTTCTAGATATACTTGGATATATCCATTTAAAAATAAATCTGATGTTACAGCTTCCATTCAAAAGTTTCATCGCTATATTGAAAACATACTTAATGCTAGACCTAAAGTTCTGAGATCAGATGGCGGAGGAGAATTTTAAATCACACTCTTAATCAATATCTTTCTTCTAATGGTGTCCATCATCAGAAAATCTTGCCCCTACTCCTCTAAACAAAATGGTCAAGCTGAGAGAACATCTAGAGTAAGTCATTCCAGAGCCACCTCAGTATGTGGAGTCAGCTCCTCCAAAGACACTAGTTGAGACTCAGTTAAGAAGATCTATCAGAGAGCATCGACCTCCTAGATGTTATTCTCTTGAAAAGTTTAAGTCACACACTCAAAAGAAGGAGTAGCATAAAGCCATGTAAGAGGACATGAAATCCTTGCATGAGAACCACACAAATGAATTTGTGAAACTACCTAAGGGTAAGAGAGCACTTAAGAATAAGCGGGTGTTCAGATTGAAGGTTGAATCAAATAGCTCATAGCCCAGGTACAAGGCAAGACTAGTTGTGAAAAGTTTGGGTTGAAAAAAGAGAATTGACTCTAGGAAGTTTGCCTCAGGTTACCTGATTACTTATTTAGAAGGGCAGTG